AGTTGTAGTTCACCTACATCCAGACAGCACTGTGGACTCAAACAATGATGGATCTGGACGAAACTTGGAACGAATCCTCAATATAACCAAATGTGAAGACTGGTAGGGTTTAGGGAAAATAGACTTTGACATTGTGGAGTTGTAGTTGCTGGGATTTATAGTTCCCCTACAACCAAAGAGCATTCTGAGCCCCATAGACATAGAATTGTGCCAAACTTTCCACACAGAACCCCAATGTCAACAGAAAATACTGGAAGTGTTTGGTGGGCACTGACCTTGAGTTTGGGAGTTGTAGTTCACCTACATCCAGACAGCACTGTGGACTCAAACAATGATGGATCTGGACAAAACTTGGAATGAATCCTCAATCCTGCCCAAATGTGAAGACTGGTAGGGTTTGGGGAAAATAGACTTTGACATTGCGGAGTTGTAGTTGCTGGGATTTATAGTTCACCTACAACCAAAGAGCATTCTGAGCCCCATCGACGATAGAATTGTGCCAAACTTTCCACACAGAACCCCAATGTCAACAGAAAATACTGGAAGGGTTTGGTGGGCACTGACCTTGAGTTTTGGAGTTGTAGTTTACCTACATCCAGAGAGCACTGTGGACTCAAACAGTGATGGATCTGGACGAAACTTGGAACGAATCCTAAATATGCCCAAATGTGAAGCCTGGTAGGGTTTGGGGAAAACAGACCTTGACATTGGGGAGTTGTAGTTGCTGGGATTTATAGTTCACCAACAATCAAAGAGCATTCTGAGCCCCACCAACGATGGAATTGAACCAATCTTGGCACACAGAACTCCCATGACCAATAGAAAATACTGGAAGAGTTTGGTGGGCATTGGCCTTCGGTTTTGGAGTTGTAGTTCACCTACATCCAGACAGCACTGTGGACTCAAACAATGATGGATTTTGACTAAACTTGGCATGAATCGTCAATATGCCCAAATGTGAACACTGGTAGAGGTTAGGGAATATAGAGCTTGACATTTGGGAGCTGTAGTTGCTGGGATTTATAGTTCACCTACAACCAAAGAGCATTTTGAACCCCATCGACGACAGAATTGGACCAAACTTCCCACATGAACCCCAATGTCAACAGAAAATATTGTGCTTACTGATGGTCTTTGGTGACCCTCACGACCCCCCATGGTCCCAACCCCCAGGTTGAGAAACGCTGGTCTACCGAACCAGTTTATGAGCAACTCTGTGTCCCAATCACAGAGATAAAAGCGGGATACACACAATAATAACAACAACCTCATTCAACCCTTTGGGCCCAGCAGCTGCTTCCAAGTGTTGAATGCCCAAAGTTTACCTCTGGTCACTGATTTATTAAACTAAGCAGTGGGGTTTCTGAATGCACACAATGCCTTTCTGATACAATAAATAATAATAATAATAATAATAATAATAATAATAATAATAATAAACTTTATTTATACCCCGCCACCATCTCCCCAATGGGGACTCGGAGCGGCTTACATATTATAGTAGAATTATATATATTATTACTATATTATATTATTACTATATTTATATTATAATTATATATATTATTACTGTATTATATTATAATTACATATAGTATTACTATATTATATTATTACTATGTTATATTATAATTATATATATTATTACTATATTATATTATTACTATATTATATTATAATCATATATTTTATTACTATAAGAACGACTGAATGCAAACCGAAAACGCAAACAATAAACAACATCATAATTACATAAAACATATGAATATACAACAATATAAAATTACAATAAACACAAACACAGTGACAACGGGCGAGCTACATGTAATGGTTAAAAGAACTAATTAAAACTGGTTAAAAATCGGGTGAGATAAAAGAGAAACATAGAATCAAAGAGTTGGAAGAGACCTCATGGGCCATCCAGTCCAACCCCATTCTGCCAAGAAGCAGGACTATTGCATTCAAATCACCCCTGACAGATGGTCATCCAGCCTCTGTTTAAAAGCTTCCAACTCCCACAATTCCTAACAGCCTTCCTCTTTAAAATCAGGACAGTAAATAAACAGCAACACTCAAAAAACAGGGCACTTCCAGACATGAAACAATCAGGGCCAGCTAACATCTCCTAACAAAGGACCAAGCTTTGAAGCTACAAAGCCACTCAATGCTAATCAACCTGGCCAATTGCAACATTCCCACTTGCCTCCAACAGACAAGAGTTCTTTCTCCCACCCTGGACGTTATTCCAGATCTATCAACCCCACTTGCCTAGTTTCCAACAGACCTCACAACCTCTGAGGATGCCTGCCATAGATGTGGGTGAAATGTCAGGAGAGAATGCTTCTGAAACATGGCCAGACAGCCCAAAAGACTCACAGCAACACGTTATGTAGTTAACCAGTCCATCTGAGTAGCTCAATGTAATGTAGATTGGGTTGTTGTATGTTTTTTCGGGCTATATGGCCATGGTCTAGAGGCATTCTCTCCTGACGTTTCACCTGCATCTATGGCAAGCATCCTAGATTGATTCAACTCAATAAACACTTCAATAAGGCCACAGCCATGGAGCCTAGTTTTACACCTTTGTATTCAACAATCAAGGCCTATTAATATTAATAATAATAATAAACAAAAGCTAGATGACCCTTGGACTCCCTTTCAATTCGAGGATTCTATGTATTATCATTATTATTATTATTAATAATAATAATAATAATAATTAACAAAGGCTGGATAGCCATCTGCTGGGAGGGCTTTAATTGTATTTCCATGGCAAAATGGACTATGTTCCTCCTGACCCACTTCTCTCTCGATCCTCTGATTTCATAACTGCAGCTATGCTTCTCCATAGAAACAGGCCTGTTAGGAATGGTGGGAGCTGCAATCCAGCAACAATCCCTTTTGCTTTCCTGCCCCCTTTTTTCCTCTATCAAGGAACTCAACACATAGCTGCCAAGCCCCATAGAATGGGGTTGGTAATGGCGGAATGGGGTTGGTCCAGATGGTCCTTGGGGTCCCTTCATACTTTAGGATTATATGTATTATTATTATGATTAATAATAATAATAATAATAATAATAATAATAATAATAAACAACAGAGGCTAGATGACCCTTGGACTCCCTTTCAACTCGAGGATTCTATGTATTATTATTATATTATTATTAATAATAATAATAATTAACAAAGGCTGGATGGCCATCTGTTGGGAGGCCTTTAATTGTGTTTCCATGGCAAAATGGGGTTGGCCTGGATGGTCTTTGGAGTCCCTTTCAACTTTACAATTCTATGTATTATTATTATTATTATTATTATTATTATTATTATTATTATTATTTAAACAGAGGCTGGATGGCCATCTGTCAGGGGTGATTTGAATGCAATATTCCTGCTTCTTGGCAGAATGGGATTGGACTGGACGGCCCATGAGGTCTCTTCCAACTCTTTGATTCTATTCTATGATTCTATTATTATTATTATAAACAGAGGCTAGATGGCCCTTGGACTCCCTTTCAACTCAAAGATTTCATGTATTATTATTATTATCAGTAATAATAATAATAATAATATAATAAACAGAGGCTAGATGGCCCTTGGACTCCCTTTCAAAATAGAAGCTTGATGGTCATCTGTTGGGAGGGCTTTGATTGTGTTTACTTCCATGGCAAAATGGGGTTGGCCTGGATGGCCTTTGGGGTCCCCCCTTCCAACACTAGGATTTTAATAACAATAACAAAACAACAACAACAACAACAATAATAATGAACAGAGGCTAGATGGCCATCTGTCGAGAGGGCTTTGATCGTGTTTACTTCCATGGCAAAATGGGGGGTTGGCCTGGATGGCCTTTGGGGTCCCCTTCCAACACTAGGATTTTAATAACAATAACAAAACAATAACAATAATGAACAGAGGCTAGATGGCCATCTGTTGGGAGGGCTTTGATTGTATTTACTTCCTGGATGGCCTTTGGGGTCCCTTCCAATACTAGAATTCAAATTACAACAATAACATAATAGTAATAATAATAATAATAATAATAATAATAAACAGAGACTAGATGGCCATCTGTCGGGAGGGCTTTGATCGTGTTTACTTCCATGGAAAAATGGGGTAGGCCTGGATGGCCTTTGGGGTGCCCCCTTCCAATACTAGGATTCAAATTACAACAATTAAATAATAATAATAATAATAATAATAATAATAAAAACAGAGGCTAGATGGCCATCTGTCGAGAGGGTTTTGATTGTGTTTACTTCCATGGAAAAATGGGGGTTGGCCTGGATGGCCTTTGGGGTGCTCCCTTCCAACACTAGGATTCAAATTACAACAATAAAATAATAGTAATAATAATAATAATAATAATAATAATAATAATAATAATGGGAGGGTCGATGGCCATCTGTCGGGAGGGCTTTGATCGTGTTTACTTCCATGGAAAAATGGGGGGTTGGCTTGGATGGCCTTTGGGATGCCCCCTTCCAACACTAGGATTCTAATAATAACAATAAAATAATAATAATAATAATAATAATAATAATAATAATAATAATAATGGGAGGGTCGATGGCCATCTGTCGGGAGGGCTTTGATCGTGTTTACTTCCATGGAAAAATGGGGGGTTGGCTTGGATGGCCTTTGGGATGCCCCCTTCCAACACTAGGATTCAAATTACAACAATAAAATAATAGTAATAATAATAATAATAATAATAATAATAATAATAATAATAAAATAATAATAATAATAATAATAATAATGGGAGGGTCGATGGCCATCTGTGGGGAGGGCTTGGGTTGTGTTTCCAGGGCAGCGCGGCTGTTCCCCGGGGTGCCTTTCCCCCTTTTCCTGGGCCCTTTCTTCCTCCTCCTCCTCCTCCTCCTCCTCCTCCTCCTTCCCGCCATGTGGCTGCTGAGCCCCAGAGAGAGGGGAGCGGGAGAGAGAGCTCCCTGGAGAAGGCGGGCCTCGCCGGGGCCGGGCCCGCTTCCCCCCTTACTCACCCGGGCGGGCCAGTGCGGGTAGCCCTTCATCTTGGCGAAGACCAGGTCCCCGCACTGGTACTCCGGGCCCGCTTCCCCCCTTACTCACCCGGGCGGGCCAGTGCGGGTAGCCCTTCATCTTGGCGAAGACCAGGTCCCCGCACTGGTACTCGCGCGGCCGGTTGGAGCGGGACATGGCGGCCCGCGCCGCCGGGGAGAGAGGCACCGCGCCGACCGCCGCCGCCTCCTCCTCCGGCCGCCTCCTCCTCCGCTTCCCCGGAATGGCTGCCGGGCCCTCTCGGCCAGCCAAAGAGCCAGCACCCACGCCCACGCCGGACTCGAGACCCCCGCCGCGGCTGCTCCCGCTCGCTTGGCCGCCTCCTCCTCTTCCTCCTCCGGGTCGGCGCCCAAGGGTCCGGTTCGGGTCCGAGAAGGGCTCCTCCTCTTCTTCTTCCTCCGGCGGCGGCGGCGAGGGGCGGAGAGGAGGCGAGGGGAGGCGCTTGCAGGCAGGGGCGGGCCCTCGCTCCCCCTCCCCCCCCTCCTCCTTTTCCCTCTCTTTTTCTATCCCTTTCTTTTCCTTCGCCCTCTTCTCCTCCCCCTCCTTGTCTCTTCCCTTCTTTCTCTCCCTTTCCCCCCTCTTTTTCTATCCCTTTCTTTTCCTTCCCACCTTTTCTCTTCCTTCCTTTCTCCTCTCCCCTTCTTTTTCTATCCTCCTCTTTCTCTCTTCCCCCTCCTTTTCTCTTCCTTTCTCCTCTTTCCTTCTCTCTTTTCTTTCTCTCTTGCTCTTCCTCTCCTTTCCCCTCTCTTTTTCTCTCCCTTTTCTTTCTCTCTTCCTTCCCTCCTTTTCTCTCCCTCCTTTCTCCTCTTTCCTTTTCTTTCTCTCTTGCTGTTTCTCTCTCTTTCTCCCTTTTTCTCTCCCTTTTCTTTCTCTCTTCCCCTTTTCTCTTACTTTCTCCTCTTTCCTTCTCTTTTCTTTCTCTCTTGCTTTTTCTCTCCCTTTTCTTTCTCTCTTCCCTCCTTTTCTCCCTTCTTTTCTCCTCTTTCCTTCTCTTTTCTTTCTCTCTTGCTGTTTCTCTCCCTTTTCTTTCTTCCTTCCCTCCTTTTCTCTTCCTTCCTTCCTTCCTCCTCTTTCCTTCTCTTTCCCCTTTCTCTTTCTTTCTTTCTGCTTTTCTCTTCCCTTTCCTTCATTCTTGTTATTTCTCTCCCTTTCCCCCCCCCCTTTTTCTATCCCTTTCTTTTCTTTCTCTCTTCCTTCCCTCCTTTTCTCTTCCTTCTTTCTTTCTTTCCCCTTCTTTTTTTCTATCCTCCTCTTTCTCTCTCCTTCCCCCCTTTTCTCTCCCTTCCTTTCTCCTCTTTCCTTCTCTTTCCTTCCCTTTCTCTTTCTCTCTTGCTCCTTTTCTCTTCCCTTTTCTTCGCTCTCTTAGCTCTCCCTTTCTCCCTCTTTTTCTATCCCTTTCTTTTCTTTCTCTCTTCCTTCCCTCCTTTTCTCTTCCTTCCTTTCTCCTCTTTCCTTCTTTCTTTCTCTCCCCTTTTTTTCTATCCTCCTTTTTCTCCCCCCCTCCTTTTCTCTTCCTTTCTCCTCTTTCCTTCTCTTTCTCTCTTCTCTTTCTCTCTTGCTGTTTCACTCCCTTTCTCCCTTTTTCTATCCCTTTTCTTTCTCTCTTCCTTTCCTCCTTTTCCCTTCCCCTTCTCTCCCTTTTCTCTTTCTCCCTTGCTCTTCCACTCCCCTTCTCCCCCTCTTTTTCTATCCCTTTCTTTCTCTATCTCTCTTCCTTCCTTCCTTTCTCCTCTTTCCTTCTTTCTTTCTCTCCCCTTCTTTTTCTATACTCCTCTTTCTCCCTTCCCCCTCCTTTTCTCTTCCTTTCTTTCTCCCCTTTCCTTCTCTTTCTCTCTTGCTCCTTTTCTCTTCCCTTTCCTTCACTCTCTTATTTCTCTCTCTTCCTCCCCCTCTTTTTCTATCCCTTTCTTTTCTTTCTCTCTTCCTTCCCTCCTTTTCTCTTCCTTCCTTTCTCCTCTTTCCTTCTTTCTTTCTCTCCCCTTTTTTTCTATCCTCCTTTTTCTCCCCCCCTCCTTTTCTCTTCCTTTCTCCTCTTTCCTTCTCTTTCTCTCTTCTCTTTCTCTCTTGCTGTTTCACTCCCTTTCTCCCTTTTTCTATCCCTTTTCTTTCTCTCTTCCTTTCCTCCTTTTCCCTTCCCCTTCTCTCCCTTTTCTCTTTCTCCCTTGCTCTTCCACTCCCCTTCTCCCCCTCTTTTTCTATCCCTTTCTTTCTCTATCTCTCTTCCTTCCTTCCTTTCTCCTCTTTCCTTCTTTCTTTCTCTCCCCTTCTTTTTCTATACTCCTCTTTCTCCCTTCCCCCTCCTTTTCTCTTCCTTTCTTTCTCCCCTTTCCTTCTCTTTCTCTCTTGCTCCTTTTCTCTTCCCTTTCCTTCGCTCTCTTAGCTCTCCCTTTCTCCCTCTCTTTTTCTATCCCTTTCTTTTCTTTCTCTCTTCCTTCCCTCCTTTTCTCTTCCTTCCTTTCTCCTCTTTCCTTCTTTCTTTCTCTCCCCTTCTTTTTCTATCCTCCTCTTTCTCCCCCCTCCTTTTCTCTTCCTTTCTCCTTTCCTTCTCTTTCTCTCGTTTCTTTCTCTCTTGCTGTTTCCTCCTTTTCTTTCTCCTCTCTCTCCTTTCTCTTCCTTCCTTTCCCCTCTTTCCTTCTCTTTTCTTTCTCTCTTGCTATTTCTCTCCCTTTTTCTATCCCTTTTCTCTCTTCCTTCCCTCCTTTTCTCTTCCTTTCTCCTCTTACCTTCCCCTTCTCTCCATTTTGCCTTTCTCTGTTGCTCTTCCTCTCCTTTTCTCCCCGTCTTTTTCTATCACTTTTCTTTCTCTCTTCCCTCCTTTTCTCTTCCTTTCTTTCTCCCTTCCTTCTTTTTCTCTTGCCCCTTTTCTCTTCCCTTTCTTTCGCTCTCTTGTTATTTCTCTCCCTTTCTCCCCCTTTTTTTCTATCCCCCTCTTCCCTTCTTTCTCCCCTCTCTTTCTTTCTTCCTCTCCCCCTCTTTTTCTATCCCTTTTCTTTCTCTCTTCCTCCCCTCCTTTTCTCTTCCTTTCTTTCTCCTCTTTCCTTCTTTCTTTCTCTTGCTTTTCTCTTTCTCTCTTGCTCTTCCTCTTCCTTTCTCCCCTTCTTTTTCTATCCTTCTTTCTCTCTTCCCTCTCCTTTTCTCTTCCTTTCTCCTCTTTCTCTTTTCTTTCTCTCTTGCTCTTTCTCTCCCTTTCTCCCTCTTTTTCTCTTCCTCCCACTCCTTTTCTCTCCCCTCCTTTCTCCCCCTTTCCTTCTTTCTCTCTTGTTCCTTTTCCCTCTTTCCTCCTTTTTCTCTCTCCTTCTTCCCTTTCTCACTCTTTTCCTTCTTTTTCCTCTTCCCCTTTTTCTTTTCCTTCTCTTTTCCTTCCCCCCTTTTTTCTTTTCCTTCTTTTCTCTCCCTTCTCCGCTCTTTCTCTACCTTTCTTCCCCTCTTTTACTATCTCTTTTCTTTCTCTCCTCCTCCCTTCCTTTTCTTCCTTCTTTCCTCCTCTTTCCTTCTCTTTCTCTTTCTCTCTTTCTCCCCATTTTTCTATCCCTTTCTTTTCTTTCTCTCCTCCCTTCCCCTTCCTTTTTCCTCTTCTCCTTTTCCTTCTCTTTCTTCTTCTTCTCTCTCCTCTCTTCCCTCTTTCTCCTCTTCTTTCTCTTCCTCTCCCCCTTTTTCTCATTGTCTCTTTTCCTTCCCCTCCTTTTTCTTCCCTTCTTTCTCTCCCTTTTCTCCCTCTAGCTTTTCCTCTACCTTTCTTGGCCTCTCTTTCTATCTTTCTTTCTACCTCCCCCTCCTTTTCTCTTCCTTCCTTTCTCCTCTTTCCTTCTCTTTCCCGCCCTTTCTCTTTCTCCCCATTTTTCTATCCCTTTCTTTTCTCTCTCTCCCTTGCTCCTTTTTTCTTCCCTTTCTTCCCCTTTCCTTCTCTCTCTCTCTGTTCTTTCTCTCCCTTTTTCTATCCCTCTTCCCTTCTTTCTCCCCTCCTTCTTTCATCCTCTCCCTTCCTCCCCCTCTTTTTCTATCCTTTCTTTTCTCTTCCTCCCCTCCTTCATTCTCTTCCCTTTTCTCTCTCTTCTTTGCTTTCTTCCCTTCTTTCTCACTCTTTCTCCCTCTTTTTCTATCCTTTTCTTTACCTTCTCTCTTTTCCTCCCCTCCTTTTCTATTCTCTACTTTCTCCACCCTTTCCTTCTCTTTCTCTCCCTTTTCTTTCTCTCTTGCTTTCTCCCTTTTCTATCCTCTCTTCCATTCTTTCTCCCTCTCCTTTCGTTCTCTCTTCCACTTTTTCTATACTTTTCTCTCTTCCTCCCCTCCTTTTTTCTTCCCCTTTCACCCTTCTCTTTCTCTCCCACTTTTCTCTTTCTCCTTTTTTATCCTTCTTTTCCTTCTCTCTCCCTTCCTCCCTCCATCCCTCTTCCCTTCTTTCTCCGCCCTTTCCTTATCTTTCCTTCTTGCTCTTCTCCTTCCTTCCACCCCTCCCCTTTCTTCCTCCCCATCCTTCCTTCTTTTCCCTTTCTCTCCCCATTCCTTTTTCTTGCCTCCCTTTCTAACCCCTTTTCTTTCTTTTTCCTCCCTTCCTCCCTTCTCTTCCTTTATTTCTACATTCGCTCCCTTTCACCTGCTTTTTCTCCTTCTATCTCCCTCCCTTTCCCCCTTATCAGTCCCCTTTTATGTTATCCTCCCTTTCTCCCTCCTTCTCTTTCTTTCCCCTTTTTCTGTCCCTTTTTTTTCTCTTGTGCCTTCTTTTCTCCCTTCCCTCCGTCTTTCCTTCTTTCGTCTCATTGCCTTCCTTTTTCTATCTTATGTCCCTCTTTCTCTTTACCTCCCTTCTCTTTTTATCTTCTTTCTTCCTCTCCTTCTCTTGTTTTTTCTTTCCTTCACTTTCTTCCTGTCCTTCTTTTTCTCTTGTGTCCCTTTCTTTTTCCTTCCCTCTTTCTCTCCTTCTTTCTTCCTCTTCCTCTTTCTCTCTTGTGCATCTCTCCTCCTCTTTCTTCCTCTTTTCTCTTTTCCTTTCTTTTTTTCTTTCCTTCTTTCTTCGTCTTCTT